AGTGCAGGCGGGACGAGGTGAAACGTGGCAGGACGAGGGTCTCGACCTGTTGCAGGGGCATCAGGAGATGCGAGCAAAACCACCACCAAACTCACGAGGACGGATTTCTTTCTGTGCCTTTCACTTTCAAGTCGGTGCAAGGCTCTTAATGTTGCACTAATGCACGTTTTTGTCTTGCTTTTAACTTATTAGCACTCTGAGCTTTTGCTTGCATCATGCCAGCCTCACGATTCCCCCACTGCGTTTGAACCGGCTGCCAAAATACGGACCAGGAGGGATGCGGGCAGTGACGTGCAAACCTCCAAAGGCCGTTGACGTTCATCTCCCAAGGCCAGGCTGCGTGGCAGCGGTGCGGAGCCGTATATTCCCACCCGGAGCCGTATATTCCCACCCGGGAAGCGCTCTGCTCTGGGCTTTGCCTCGGAGTTCGCTGCTTCAACAGGTATCGAGCAAAGCTCTGCCGCGCTAGAGCCTTTCCTTGGCAATGAGGGGGTTTTTTTGCCTTTCCCCGGTAGCCGGTCGCCCTGCCAAGCTGCGCCCCAGCCCAGAGATGACAAAGTGCCCTTTAGTTAATTGCAGAACGGATCGCCTGGAGTTAAAAGTTCTGATTTATACGACTATGGCTCTAACTGCTCAATAACACGGGCCCGTAATCTACTTTCATTTCAAACAGAAGGGTGATTTATGGGGCAGCATGCCGCTTTAGCTCAGAAATGAGGTGTTCAACATATGCTCTGTTGACATAAATTTGGAATTTATCGCTCCTGTCAAAACTGCCTGTTGGACAAAGGTGCGCATTAAGGCAATAAATGGCTCGGAATAGTTTTCTGTCAAATTTCCTAACCATTGTATTCACTCTGTTTGAGGGGAAAAATATACACTTAAAAGTAATCAAACGGGCAAAAGCCATGCGTCTTGTTTGGCGCGGAGGGGAGGGGGTCTCCTCCCCGCTTCCCAAAAGGGGCGGTGGGGAGGGGCCGGGCAACCAGAGCTCCTTCAATAAAAATAGCAGAAGGCGTTTTTACGCAGGTTTGGAAGAAGGCAGAGCAGGAGTTTGCTGGCGGTGGCGGTGGGTCACTTGCGGTGGTTTTTAGGTGCCCGGGCTGTGCCGGTACCCGCACCCCCGGGATGCTCCGCCGAGCCCCCGCGTCCTCCGGGAGCGGGCAGCGGCGTTTGCCACCGATCCCGGCCTTTTCACACAAAGCACCCTGTGGGGAAAACTCATAATTTTTACACCGCGCGGTCTCGCTGGAGTCGCCGTCCCTTTGAAGTGCTTTTTGCGGGGCATTTAGGCCTTTTTATAATTACCGGCAGCTTGCGAGGGGCCAGCCTCCCGCCCGGCTTTTGTTTGCCGGCGCTAGGTGGGGAGGGGGGGTATCGCCCCACGGTCAGTTTATGTCCCGCCTGGAGAGCCCTTCGCCAAACCTCCGCGCCAGGGCTCGCTCGGGAAGGTCAGTCCCGGACCTGGGGA